ATGTACGATTGATGCTCGGATGAGATATTTTGGTGACACGTTCCAAATTTCGTAACTACAAAACACAAATCGTTCGTTGAATGATGGCAGTCGCCGTACGTTTCGGCCCAACCAAGTCATTTAAATCATGTTTTTCATCAGTACTTCACAATTTCATACAATCTGAGGTATACTTGTCATTCTTGTATCTTTCAATCCGGATTCAGGCCCCGAGATTGAAGATAGGGGGGTGATGTGAATGCCACCTCAGACCGTCGTAGATTGCGACGTCAGATGACCTGTCGGAGATCTACCTTCGGGGTGTTACCACAGATAGGGTCAGTGCAGGTTGGATGCTGAACCTTGCTTCAACACAAGGTTGATCCCCACCTGCCACACACACACTCGACTCAACGTTCCGTACATCAGCCTCTTCACCAGAGGTTGATCCGGTGTGTATCCACACCGCCCATCCCTAAGGGAACTTGCTCACACGCGAACCTGGAGACAACAGTCTCATACTTAGACTAGACTGATTTTTATTGTCATAAACCATCGGGCGGGACTGAGGGTTTTAATGAGGGGGGCTCGCAGATGACCCTACATCCCACAAGCAGTTGCTTGTGATTCCTCCGCACTCCCCTTGTGGCACTCGCCTCTGCACCTCACGCTTCTAACCCAAGGAGGTGGATTGGGGACGGGATCAAACAAAGAACAAGGGGAGGAGTTACCGGAGATCTGGGTTTGAAGTCTTTGAGTTGTAGCAGAAAACGAGAGGAGCGCGATACTGCAAGCGAGATACCACACTCGCCGCTGCGACCCGTATAATTCGACGGTGAGTTCCCGATTTGTTCCTTAGCCATACCGAGGTGAAGCCCACTGTGACAGAGGAGCTACACGTAGAGGGCGGTGGCGGTGAAGCGACAAGAGCCGACAGGGTCCAGCTACACCCCGAAGAAAACCGCGCATCTGCGAACTGCCAAGGCGAGCCTCCTCTTGCATGAGCCCCATCTGACGCGGACGTCCGCCGCAAACAGCTAATACATGAGACGCAACCAGCAACAACCCCGGTCAAGGTCGGCGCGCGGCCTGTCTCTACTGATCCCTGGTGCTTTGTGTACTTGCGATTATGTGTAACGCGTGATCGTCTCCGCAGCTTCTTTTCCGGCACCGCTTTTTGAAAGAGTCAAGAAACCTCAGACCAACCCTTTCAAAGTCGTAGGTTTTCCGTTGTGTTTCCGTACACGTTGGGTATTTACTTCGTCTTGACTCTGTACTGCGTATATTTCTGTGTGTTTTGGAGGAAGGATTTGATTTAACCTTTACGGACCTCGAGACACTATTACGAAGGAAAATGAGTTTGACATCGTAAGGTTCAGGGGAGGTCACAGAACTAACTATGTTTTGTGGGGTTTATTTGGCAACTACCTGGGCAATTATTTGTTGTTCCGTGAATTGTAATTGTTGGAATTGTAATTGTTCTTCTTCTGCCAACTGCCCGGGCAATTAATGGTTATGGTTCCGATATTGACAACTACCCGGACCAACTATAGTTGCCTGCGCAACCACTCGGTCAGAATCTTGTGCAACTAGTTGCCTCCAAACAACTACTCGGTCAGAGTCTTGTGCAACTAGTTGCCGCCAAACAACTACTCGGTCAGAATCTTGTGCAACTAGATGCCTGCAAACAACTACTCGGTCAGATTCTTGTGCAACTAGTTGTTTGCAAGCAACTACTCCGTCAGAATCTTGTGCAACTAGTTGCCTGCAAACAGCTACTCCGTCAGAATCTTGTGCAACTAGTTGCTTGCAAACAACTACTCCGTCAGAATCTTATGCAACTAGTTGTTTACGAACAACTACCGGTTAGTTGTCTGATAATAGTTTTTTTTTGCGAAAAGAGTGGCCCGTATAGGGGTACGCTTTTTGTTTTGCAAAAAAAAAGCTGTTTAGAGGGATCGTGTGTGGATGTATGTGCGCACGAGAAAAACAATAATACTTTTTTTTTGTGAAAAGTGTGGCCCGTTAGGGGTACGCTTTTTGTTTTGTGTTGCAAAAAAAAAGCTGTTTAGAGGGATCGTGTGTAGAGTATGTGCGCACGAGAAAAAAATAATTTTCATGCACAGGGGCGTGAACATTTAGCCATGGCTGTCTGTCTGACTGTCTGGTGTCTGCGCGCCCTAAATACCCAGCAGACTCGAGCCCATTTCACCATCTCGGCACCAAATTGCAAACTAAAACTTGCTCACAACAAGTAACATTTTGCCCGAGCTGTCCCAACCGCTACCTTTGCAATCCGTGGTCGGTGTCTCGAGATAGCACACCGTTTGTGCAAATATATATGTCACATGGACGCATCCCCGGGAGGCGTCGTCATTTTTGTTTTTCTTTGGGCAACAAACTACACGCACGCAAGAAACCACGACGCACTGCCGTGCTGCACACATTGCTGCTGCTACTGGCAAGACACGCACTACACAGAGACAGGGAACATGGACAAGGGGGGCGGGACACACACAC